GACTCCACAATAACGAAACCAACAATTCACGTAACTCTTCGGACTTAATCATGGAAGGATCTAATCGTTCGGTACTTTTGCCAATCAGCATATCACTACAACACATGAATCAACCATTTCCTACCCATATCTGTTCTTTCCAATTCCTGGAAGACTATCTGAAATACCATGACCTGTTTTCACTTTATGACTCTTCGTTACATTTAGGACCAATTCTAAATCTTTGGAATGATTCCTGTGATTCGATTCGTTTTGATTGTTATTTTCATTCTTTGTAGAAATTGGCACACTGACAGTAGGATCGACATGACGAGTAGAAACAGTACTATTGTTCACTTTCTATAATGTTATCAACATACCTAGACTAATACAATAGAACTGTTGATATCTAGTATTACTCTAAACAATAATAGCAATAGTTAGTACATACCTTTTAGTCGAAATATCACTTCTATGAATAGGTACATATTCGAAAGATGAAGAATAAGTCGATAGAGAAACATATATCAATTGTACCCTACAACTTACCAATTGGCACGATATTGAACACTAAATAGATTGAAACAAACAATAATTGAAACATAGGACACACAGAATGGTAATAGTAAACTTAATATGATACAGGTGAGCTGTGTATGAATCTATACTTGATTTTGTTTCCTTATTCTTTGTCGTTTGAGTGAATGGATTGATTCTATTGCAAAAACTGTAATGAATACTAAATCTGAATGGGTAGCCAAACATACCATTTTTGATTTGTTTAGCATTATTCAAATAGATGGGAATGTAGTTCTATGCAATACGATACGATACAAATGGAACACATATCAAATCCCATAGTTGTCAAGAATACAAAATGGGAAAACAAAGTCAGTAATCTATCACGTTCTGTGTGTATACACAATGTTTAGCCAACAATAATCTATCTATCTTTCTATCGATAATTTACATCATTTCATCATTAAGAGATATCCTCACTTTTAAGGCATTCTTTAGTTTCATTGCAATTACTACAACTATAATATATAATAATAAAGGATATGTCACATTTCCAGCTTGTAGATTGTAATCTTTCGAGTTGTTTTCAACATGCAATTTGTGAGATATCGAATTTATGAATAGTACGGAATGAATGAATTCTGTGTATTAATAGAGAATCGTAATATGACACTTTCATTACTCTTCACTACAGCACACATCATTTGATTTATCAACATATTAGTCCATTTCTGGATTGTATAGTACCAAGTGTATCACTCTTACATGCTTAACCGACTCTTTGTCCAAAATCGCTTCATTAGATGACAAACACTCCATATCCTATTTTCCATAGTACAAGTATGCATATTTCATATCCACATCTCAATATTGATAATATCTTCCATGAAATCAAGCAAAAATAGTGTATTTTTCGTAAAGTAGTTTGGTTCATTATATTTTGGTTTTTGCATAATATATATATGTATTTTATTTGAAATGATAGTTTATCTGATCCTTGCAGTCTTAGGGGAGCTTTCTATTCTGTTACACAATAGTCATCCAAACTGGAGTTTGGCATCAATTCATGTCTTACAAGTAAGTTCTCCCTTCAATTCTTTCATATTCTATAGCAAATACAATTACCACCTCACAAAGTCTTGTCTCATCATTCGAAAACTATTACCACAACGTTACCAACAGTTGCTCATGTATTCTTTGCTCTCTCTTTTCCTATTATGACTAGTATATTGATTTTCAACCTCTTGATAAGCGATATGGAAAGAACAACGTATATGTGCAAAAGCTAATGAAGATACCCTCTCTCAAGCATTTCAGCAATGAAAAGAAATGTTTTCAACAGCTCGTTCCATATTATCTCAACCCATTTGCGAGCTCAGCTTGTCATAATGCCAGTGATTTGTTTGATTTCTTCAAGCACAACAAAAAGAATCTGTTTTTCGATTGCCATGATTCACATCCATACTCTCATTGCCAGCAATTCTATGTCGTTACATATGATACAATGAAAGATGAATGTTCGTCCTTCAAAAGAAAACCATGTATGATTTATGAAAGTTGCTCTCTCTTACATACTAGATAATCCCAAGGATTATGATGATGTCACTCTAATCACAATATTAACGTTAGTTCGGAAAGATCGATTGCCCTATTTGATGAAGAGATGGAGACATCGAATCAATATGGTAATCTTCGTTACAGAGAATGAGATTGATGAGTTAAGAGAGGTGATCGATTCATACAAGTCCTATAAACGAATCACCTTTATACTCTACATTGTGAAGTCTAGGATCGGCTCGCGTTATCAAAGCATTTATTATAATGAGAAGAAACCCGTTTATCGAAACAATACAATCTTTCCTATCAATGTTTTGAGAGACTTAGCGATCGAGTTCATTGATACAACTCATTACTTTGTGAGTGATATCGATGTATTTTCATCCGATACTCTATATTCGACACTCCAGATTCATAATCAAACACTGAAGGATCCGAAAGCCGTATTGTTGCTAAAGTCATTCCTAATGAATGAAAAAGAAGTGAATCACAAGAATTGTTATGAAAAAGGATTGTGTGAGAATATGTATATGATTTGTATGGATCGTTGTAATGGTTAGTTGGGATATGGTTCCTCATACAAAATCGGAATTGAAGCGAGTGTATATGCATAGTGTTGTTCCTCATCCTACAGGTCGACATGTAGTTCTATATATATTCTGAACCACACATAGAGAATTGTAAATGTAGATAAAATGCTTGCCGAGAATAAGAACATTCTTTACCGATACTATGCTGATCATGAAATGGAACCCTATTCCATAGTCAAACGTTCAATGGATAATCCCATATTCCATCCATATTTCATTGATTATGGATATAACAAGGAAGAACTATTGAATCGGATGATATCTCAACGTATTTGATTGTGATTTGTCATATTTTGTAGATTATCACTTTTATGTCTTAGCCAACGAATTTTGCATTGAAATACCTCACAAACGAACCAAAATATCAAAGGACTATAAACGAGGCACTTACATGTGGCAGCTTGCTCAGATAATAAGAAAGACGTATGGAATAACGCTAGTATAGAGTGTTTTGCACTAATCAGATTATAATTGAACTACAAAAATACTACAGACAATAATGACATATATGGTTCAAAAAATGTGGTCATATTAATATGGATAAAGAATGCAAGGAGTATGAGCAACAAAAGGAAGGAATGTCAAATTGGGCTCAATGATCATTGGATTCTTAGTGTATTACATTAATTATGTAGCTTTCGATAAGAGGCGTACATTTACTATATTATTGTGCCAAAGTCAAATGAGAAAATAGTTCTATTGATCTAAATGGAATTTTAGTCAATCCTATTATTTTGGACATAAGTTTTAGAAATGAGTTATTATTGATTCTATACAATAGCTTGAGTTTAACCAAAGCTTGTATACTTTATTCACTCACTCATTCAAATAAGAATACAAGCTTCTAAATTACAATCTAAATATACCACAATAAATATATATGTCTATGGAAGTTGTGCAGAAATACGTCACAATATGTGAAAAAACGATGGTATAGTATTTTGAATATCAATGAAGAACAAAGTATAATATAGCACATGATGCAAACAACTAGTTTTGCTTGTATTTTGAACAATTGTCTTCATTCCCTTCTTTTGAATGTGAATGTAGATTGATAGAAATATCTACTTCTAATTTATATAAGAATTGGTTCATATGATACTCCCATATCATCATTTTCGAAACTACTTAAAAATGTACTGAGATTTTTAGAACTATACGAACCATATTAGAAACGACTTTTCAACTATGAATAAATGAATTGAAGCTATTCTATGAAGAATAAAATGGTAAAACCGAAAAATCAATACCAATAATCCTATTTTTTGTTCAAACCAAATAAAAATGACTCTGTGACTTTTAAAAACTATTTAATAATAATAAGGATACTATTTTCTTTACATATTAAATGGTGATAATGCTGTAAAGTGTAATCCAGAACTCATGTACCAAACCTATGACTAATATCGAAAAATCAATACATTACAATTTTAGGACAAAAGTAATAATCAGTACTATTTAATATATGGTACAAAAATAGTACTATTCATAAGAATAATGTATTGAATCAAATGTTCAAGGATTTTTCGCTTTAATATAAGAAAATAGAGCAATTTCATTCTGATGTATTGGCTGATTGTATAACAAAGCAGAAATGATTGTAATGCATATTTACATAAATACAAGTCATCATAAGTGTGGAATAAGCTTGTCTTTATGATGATGGCAAAAACAAAAGCAAAAATTCTTTCTGTATTTTATATCGATTCTCCAAAGGGTGTGATACATTTCCAATAAAACATTATGAACAATAAAAATAGATAAGCATGCTATTTTGAAAAAATAATCGATTGCTATTTCCAAAACTTGCTTCGTGAATATTTTCACTACCAGACCTCTTTTAAACAATTAAAAATTATATTCTTGTTACTTGAAAGGAATTGCACCTTTTCTAAGTTAAGCCTTTTTTCGAGCAAATGTGTATACGGATGCAGTCGAATGACTTCCTAGTAATTTATTTGTGTACATAACTATATATAGTTTTGTAATAATTGATGAAAAAAATATATTGCCAAGTATAGATAGAGAAAAATTGAGTATTGAGAAAAAAGGATCCAAAACACGTGGACCAATATTGAGAATTTGAGTCACGTGATTCATATAATATGCTATTTTTCACTTTTAAAATTCTGATAGCTTAGTATTGAGTTATCTATGATAATAAGTTTGATTATAAATAGTTTAGGAATACAAATAAAATAGAATCGTAATTTTATATAACCGTATTACAAGAATCGCTGGTTCTATTGTATATATTGTTATTTTGTGACTCATAATGATGAAGGCTATTTATTATTTATATTTAATATAAATGAAAGCAATAAAATGATATGAGTGTAGAAAAACAAACAATTATATATTGGAAAAGACACGTGCACAGAATTATGAAAAACGATCCATATGAAATAATCACACATAATTCTTTCACAAAAATACTATATATTGTATTACTTATATATCAACATTAGTAAAAACTTGTTTCTCCAAACCAATTCAACGATTCATTCCAACTAGTGGGCATTACTCTATTTACTTGTATTTTTTGAAACAACTTATTCCATTGCATTTTGTTGTGATTGATAATATGTTGGCGATACTTCAAATTGCATTCATACACATGAGAATAATTTGTTGTTTTCATCAACTCAACTAGGTGCGAGATATTGTTGAAAATAATTGAGCATGGAGTATAATAGGAAGCATATTGAAGCCAATATTCAGTGGCCTCTTCTGAAGAATCCTCAGGTGAATACAAGTGTTTTGAATTAGGATGTCGAGGAGGTTCCTGAAATCTCTTTCCACAATAGGAAGGATCTCCGGCTTTCATATCATAACTAATCTTATTTTGAACGATAAATGATGGTGAAGGCACAAACATTGGAATTGCAGTAGTAATCAAATCTGCGAGATAATAGGATAGAACAGCATATGGAAATACAATCACTACCTTAAATGAATTGATATCAGAATATGTGAACCTTCCTTTTATTTTTTCTCGAATATGGACAACAGGACACTCAAAATTTGACGAGTTACATGCTTCAGGTATTTGTGTGCTATACTGTTGATAAAATGGATTTCTTTTAAATGGAGCATACAAATATTCATTGTATTTCGGTGAATAATATCTAGGCGGGGAATACACGAGTACTGTGGACGCAATTATGTAGTCCACATTCTTTCCAGAATAATAGTTGATGTATTCTGCATCATACTTTCCTGCAGCCATTACAATAACAGGAGCTTTAGGCTTATTGAACATCCATTTTATAAGGCTATTTGAATCATTTGAAGAACATCGTTTGATGAGAAAACGGTAAGCAGGCATGAATATTACTGTTTTGTTAAATGCTAAATAGTTTTGACATTCCGATGGATAGAACATACAAATGATAGCACCAACACGTTTAAACAGAATATCGTTATTAAATGTCCACCAGAGACGTTCAACAGACTTCATATTATATGCAAATAGTTTTGATGTTTTACATAGTTGCCGAGAAGCAAAAATGATTCTGGATTTATTCTTTGTACCACTCAATTGCAAGTA